ACACACACACACACACACACACGCATATCATAAGAAAACTTCTGAAAATCTTAGCAAACAGGGGGGAAAGACATATTATTTTCTAAAAGAACAATAATAAGATTTTTGGCTAAATTCTCAACAGAAAATATGATGCCAGAAAAAAATAAAATAAAAATAGAATGACATCTTTAAGTAACAACCAATCTTGAATTCTACAACCATCAAAAATATTTTTCAAAAGTAAAGGCAAGAGGGCTGGGGTTGTGGCTCAGTGGTAGAGAACTTGCCTAGCATATGTGAGGTACTGGGTTCCATCCTTGACACCACATAAAAATAAATAAAATAAATAAAGATCCATCAACAACTAATAAAAAAAATTTTTTTAAATGAAGGCAAGAGACACTTTTTCAGATGAATAAAAACTGAGACAATTTCTCATCATCTGACCCACATAAAAATTAATAAAATAAGATTTTCATGTCTGCCGCCCATGCAAAATGTGCTCAACTGCAAACACAGAAATGCAGAAAAAAATGAAAAGTATTAGAAAAGGTAAATATATGAGTGAATATAAAAAACAATATTAGCTGGACAAATCAAAAGTGTCTTTTGGTGCTTAAAACATATAGAAATAAAATGCATCAAATATAACTACGTCAAACAAGTTGATGAAGGATGATAGGGTTCAAGTTCGAGCCTTGTTAATCCTCAGTTCTCTACTGAGAAATAGGGAAGGAGGTAAATGATGGTCATATGTTGAAGGCTTTGATCAACAAATAAAGAGAAATATGAAGTTTGATTCTCTGGTTCTCATATCCCTATGAGAAAACCATTTGCTAAGCCTCAAAAATTCACATTATTTCCAAATCCTCATGAAATCTATAAAGTAAAACTTAACAACAGACCAAACAACTTTTATATAAAAAGCTAAAAAAGAACTTACTGGTAGGAGAAATTATAGCTAGTTTGCAACCATGTTTGTAACCAGGATCCACTCCCATCAAGGTGCGGCCTGGAACAGGGCTTGTTAAAAGAAGCTGACGAAGATTCCGTCCAAACATCATTACTGATTCCTTCTCTGCATCTGATGTCAGTTTGGCTCTTCAGAAATGAAAAATGAATGAATGAATGAATGAATGAATAAAGGGAAAGGGAAAAAGTACAGGGATCATTTTGTATAGTTAGTTATTCCTCACAGGAACATTCCCTATAACAAAATAAGTTAAAAAAAAATCACATACAAAAATTAGATTGGGCCTATTTTTACTAGTCACAGTAATATATAATACCACAAAAATTTTGAAGTAATCTTTATGAGTTTGTCATACCTACCTTCCTTCTCTGTCTGCTCTTTGCTATATACAAAAGTAATATGATTAAAGGTGTATATATCACTTCTCAGCCTTTTAGCTATGATAAAGTGTTGATATGCATATATGTGAGAAAAAATGTATAAAGACTTGCAGGTCATGTGGGAGTCAAATTAAAGTTTATCAAATTTTGAAAAATATACACACAAAAATTAGAGTATCACAGATTTTTGAATTATTGAATCACATTATTGAATTATTGAATTATTGAATCACAGATAGCCTCCAATAACATTTAATTTTATACATTTACCTTTAAATATCCCAGTCATCTTCTCTATTCTCCACATCTACTCCTTTGTCATTCTCAGTGTCATGACATTACCATAGATACTAATAGACAGTCCAGAATCATGCCTCATATAAATAACTTCAGTTTTATGCAGAGAAGTTATTTTTTTAAGTGTGCTTCTAGGCACACTCTAAGATAAAAATGTCCAATATGGCTTAAAATCATTTGGAAACCAAATTTTATTCCATTGACCTACTTAATAGAAGCTCTCCACATACTGTCTCCTGAAATTCTTAAGAATTTATAGAGTATAACTTCTCTTAGACTATGTGAACTACACATGCTATTGACCATAAGAAAACTGAACATATAAAAGTCATCAAAGCACATTTCATATCAGTGCTGAAGCAGAATATGTTACAGTTATAAAAGAGGCACACAGCTAACTAATGTTAGTGTCTCTGGTTTAATTCACTTTCTAAAGATTTCTCCATTTTCTCTAAACATTTCATTATTATTCTCTCTAAATTCAGCCAAACAAGAGAAGAAATATCTTTCCAAATATTTCTATATCTACACTTTTACTTTATTCATTGGATGAACATTTGTTAACAGTCTTACAGAAGGTACCATGATTGGTATAAGCCAAAAAGACAAGATTCTCTGCACTGATTTTCACTGTGCAGTGGAAAAAAAAAAAAAAAAACAGAAAAAATACACAGGCAAGTTTAAAACAATGGTTAAGTGCTAACGTAACAGGAATGCCTAGGAAGGATAGCTGAACTAGGTAAGCTCAGGTCAATCAAGAGGAAACGGAGATGAAAGAAAGGGAAATGACTCATAGAAAAGGTGAGTAATTTTGTAAGCCACAGAGTGAACATATAAAAGCTCTAGAAGAAAAACCCAGATCACACAGGGTCATGTATGTTCTTCTGACCAACTTGGGTTTTATCCTGGAGACAAAGAAGATACACTGGAGGACTGTAAGTAGACAAGCATAAAATAATGAGATGGGGATTTTAAAATGGCAATGTGGAATCTATGTTGGAAAAGATAGAAGACAGTAACATCTATGACACTAGTACAGTAATCCAGACAAGAAATGATGATGCATTGAACTAAGACAGTAACCATGGACATAAAGAGAAGGAACAATGCATGATACAGTACAAGATGGTAAAACACTTCTTGATAACTGACAAGGTAGAAATGATAAAGAAGATACGAAAAATGCCACATGGATGAATGATCATGACAGTCACGTTAATAAGAAATGCAGAAGCAGTTTATGCATAGGATATAGTCAACTGAATAAAATGACTACAAAATAACATAGTCTTAATGGTCTCTTTTAATTCACACACAGATGGAGAAAACTATGGCTAACAATGGGTATCTCTATCGAAATTATGTTTCCCCCCTTTTGTGCTTTACTGATGCTTTCAATTTTCCTATAGTTGGGACAAAGTTCTTTTCTTTTTTTTTTTTAAGAGAGAGAGAAAGAGAAGAGAGAGAGAATTTTTTAATATTTATTTTTCAGTTTTCAGTGGACACAATATCTTTATTTTATTTTTATGTGGTGCTGAGAATCGAACCCAGTGCCCCACATATGCCAGGTGAGCGTGTTACCGCTTGAGCCACATCCCCAGCCCCAAAGTTCTTTTTAATTAGAAAAATAAAGTATTGTGGAAATGTATACACAATGAAATATTACTCAGCATAAAGAAGAAGGGTGGGCAGGGGGCCCGCTGGGGGCGGATGGAGGTTCACCAAATTGGGCAAGGGGGGGAATGGAAGGAAAGGAAGGAGGATGGGAATAGGAAAGATTGTAGAATGAATTGGACATAACTTTCCTTTGTTCATATAGGAATACATGACCAGTGTAACTCCACATCATGTACAACCACAATAATAGAAGTTATACTCTATGTATGTATAATATGTCAAAATGCATTCTACTTTCATGTATAACTAAAAATAACAACTAAAAAAAAATAAAGTATTTTTCTTTATTAAAAAAAAGTAAACCTGACTGGGACTGCCTTCCTCAACTGCTATTCATGGAAATATATCTATCAAGACACATCTCCAGACAATGTCTGCAAACCAACTTAAGAACTGAAAGAAGATGTACTGTTTTAACCAAAGGTATTTTAGAAAAAGAGAAGGAAAGTCCTTGTGATTTCTCACTGCTAGATTATATGTCAGACACTCCTGAACCAATTGTTTATATTCAATCTGAACAAAATTATTCCACAGCCACCCAAATCAAATAGATGCAAAAATGTCAAAAGTGCCACTGACATAACATGCATGATGAAAAAAAATAAGTTAATGACAACTATATAAAAGGAATTACATTTTTAAATAAGATAATTTTTTCTTCACTAAGGACAGAATTTCCTATATTTAAATTTTATGCCCTATTACCAAAAGCAAGAGATGTTGCACAACATAAATTTGAAACAGAATTTCAAAATGAACACTATTGTTAGGGGACTTCTCAACAAAAAAGGCTGAAACAAGAAACTGAATGTCATTGATAAAAAGAAATTGAACAAGAGAGCTATGTGTCATTAAGAGTACCTGCTCATTCAATACCCTGAACTCAATGGTCATGTCAAGCAAAAGAGAAATAGACAAATAGTATATAGTCTGCTAGAAATTCTAGTAAGGTTGATGAGATGGAGCCCTTGCTGAAACTTCAAAAAAGTGAGAATGAAATTTAAATCTATTCCACTCAGGAAAGACCATATGAGAGAATGGCTAGTTTTTAAGGACTGACTACCAGAACAAAGGCTGGAGAAAATGGAAGTAGAGGGGGTTTGCCTCCCTACATTTCTTTTCTTTCCATCTTCTCATCTAAAACAATCCGCACCCCATTTTTTTTGTAGTTTTCATCTTCATTGCTCTTAGAACTTCTATTAGTCCCTTTAAATGGCTATTTTAATAATGTCCTGATATTTGCTCATCATTGCTGATAATATTTCATCCAAACACTTCCCCTTTAGAGAATAAAATATATATAACAGCCTTCCTTCTTCACAGTAATAAATTCATCATGTCCTGCTTATGCTTTCTTTGACTCTCTTACCTCTAAAAAATGACTGCACGTAACTTCTTCATTAACTTCTCAGTTTGTTTCTTCCAAACCAAATCTCAAATCAATAAAACCATTTATGTGGCTTGGTTGTCAAAATGCAAGACTATTATTCCAGAATATACTTTTCAAGCTGGACCACTTATGTAGTCCAGCTTGAAAAGTATATCACAATTAACAACAAAGTTTTAAAACTTATGCATAAGGCATGTACAGATTGCAATCAAGGCTTAAACTTAAGACTTTGTGATTCTAAGTTCTTTGGCTTTGTGATTCAATCAACAAATACTTATTATATGCTTTAACAGTACAATGCAAAATAAATAGCACACAAAATTAAGCAAGACAAAATACAAACCTGAACTCTCTACACAGAAGAGGATAAATAAGGCGTTTAAAGGAATCATCCAGTGAATTATGTAAAATCTTCATTAATTCTGGCCTTGCAAAGCCACGTGGTCTCCACCTGCAAAAAGAAAACCCATACTAAACCTGATGTGACAATAATGAGACCATGAAAGGACACCTGGAAGAAAGAAGTGTGAAATAGGCAAGGGGGGAAAAGCCTTTATTAAAGCAAAAGTAACATAATCTGTAAGGAGAGGCTGTGGTGTCTGGAACTTGTTACTATGACATCTGGATGTTTTATTTTTAAAAACCTATTAACTACAGTTAGACATAAAACTTAAAGGGGAAAAAAATCTGCTGGAAAGAGTCATCAAAGCATTATTAGTAATAAGTAAAATATCAAGATACAAGAAAGTCACCAAAAAATTATTACTGTGGACTAACAGTACTGCTATGAACTGAACAGTGCCCTTCCCCAAATTCATATATTGAAGCCCTTATCTCTATTGTGATGGCATCTAGAGATGGGGCCTTTTGGAGAATATTAGCTTCAGATGAGGTCATGACACCAGAGACCTTGCTCTCTTTTTCTGGGTCTCTACTATGTGATGACACAGGGAGAAGGTGACTGTCAAACAAGAAGAACACCTCTCTTTCCTACCCCCACAGGAAGTGACTCAATTCCTTATTTTGGATTTACTAGCCTCAGGAACTGTGAGAAAATAAATTTTTGTTCTGTAAGACACACAGTCTGTACCACACTGTCATGGCAACAAAACAGGGCTGGGGATATAGCTCAGTTGGTAGAGGGCTTGCCTTGCATGCAAAAGGCCTGGGTTCTAATCCCCAGCACCACAAAAACAAAAAATGCTAAGACAATCACTGATTCTTCTATTACCTTTTCTTTATCTCTTCATGAGAATTAAAGGAGACTGAGCAAAGGAGAAACTGAACCTCACCTCTAGTCATTCATTTTTTTTTAAGTATTTTTTTAGTTGCCAATGGACCTTTGTTTTATTTATTTATATGTGGTGCTGAGAATCAAACCCAGTGCCTCACCCATGCTACACAAGCGCTCTATCACTGAACCACAACCCCAGCCCTGGACATTCTTGAGTAGAACTCAGGCCATGCTGCTCTACTGGGAACACATATACCCATACTTAAGAATGTAAAGGCCATAGAACTAACTGTTAGTAGACACTGAAGAAAGAATGGAGAGAAAAAACGCAACTAAAAAGGACAGATTTAGTCCTACCCTTTCTGTGTTTCCATCCACCTACAGCATTTCTGCCTTTGCCCTTCAATGGCTCTTGAACAGACTCCATTAACAAAATATAAATATTTTCTAGTCATCCATTAATACATGTCAAAGGTCCTCTCATCTCTGTTAATCATCTCAGGCAAGGAAATGAACTCAGTTTAAGTGAGCAAACGCACAAGCCTTTACAGTGTTACATACCAAAGGTTATGTGTTAGCAAATAACTAAACTCCTTCCATAGAGGGTAACATACTTAAATTACAAATAATTTTGTTTTTTAATTTCAATGAAAGTGCTTTTAGGCAGGATGTATATTTCCTTCTTTCTATCTAAATCTTCACTATTCCCCACTGTCACCTTTATCTGAGGACATGAGGAGTAGGGAGGAGGAGGACAAGAATTAGCCACAAGTCTTGCTTTCACTGGACCTTTTTTAAAAAAAGATAGTATGATAAATGCAAATACTAGAAATATGCAAAAATAAAGGTATAGAGCTCAAAAGTAGCGGTGATAGCAGTACAACATATTTAATGAAAACCAAGATTTGAAGCAGATTATCTCTGTTTAAATTCCATTTTACTACTTTGTTGGGAGACAGACTTAACCATGTCTGCTATCTCATTTATAAAATGAGAGTAATAATCATATTTAATTCAGTGTTGTGAGTTAATATGTAAAAGACTTATAAATTTTTTGGCACATTGTATTTAAGCACTTGCTGCTGCTGCTGCTGCTGCTGCTACTGCTGCTGCTGCTACCATCATTGTTAATTTGGAGAATTCAACATCAAGAAAAGCTTCCCAGAAAAACACCTCAGATGGGTTTTAAAAATGAATTGTGGCTTACCTAGTAAGGCAAAGGAATATGATCATTCTGAGAAGAAACCACAGCATACTGGAAAGCTCAGAGGCAAGAAAGAACATGATAGATTCAAGTAACTACAAATAGATTAGTACGGCTTGGGTATAAACTGGCAGGATAAAGTCAAAGGAAGAAGAGGCTAGAATGCAAGGCAGTGGAAAGATTATAAATGGTCTTATATACCATGCTATAGAGACTGGCTAGTTGAGACAGGAAACACAGTCCTAGGTCATGGGATAATATGCTATGAAGATAGTGCTTAGAGGCAGGAAGACTAATGAAGTGATTTTTTTTTAAAAAAAAATTAGTATAGCTGATGTCTACTAAGGTTATTCCCTTAAGCCTCCAATAAAGATTTCCCTACTACTTGCAAGAAATAGCCAGAAATCCTACTATTACCTTTGCATATCCTCTTGTAGCCCCCCAGTGATCTTTTTCAAACCTCAAAATCCTCCCTTGGTTTAGACTGCTAGGCTCTCCTCCCTGGAAGAATGCTGTGGGTCTATTTTATTCTTAAAGATGTATCAGTTATTTCCATTCAGTTGACCTTCAAACCACTGGACCTGAAACATAGCAGCTAAACTAATATCCAGCATTACAGAAACTTCTTTTGGTTCCTTACACAATAATAATTTATGCTCCTTCCCTAGCTTCCTAGAAGCTATTCACAGAAATTAGCATGAGGGACTTGAAACAGTATGGTGAATTCACAGACTTTATTACTTACTATATCCTTAAAGCAATACAATATGTTTACCTAACAGAATATTATCTCAAAATCTGAGTCTTCCATCACTCAACAACTAAATATCTCTGAATAAAACTGAAGGACCTCATCTAAGCCAAATTCTACAATATGAAACATATGTCTTATGAGATATGCACAATAAAGCAAAAATATAAGGCAGGAACCACAAACTCAACTGCCTGCAAGGGCCAGGAGAGTACTATAAGCAACTGAAAAGATCTATGCCCTAAACTGTATGTTTTTGACAGAGACATGCTTTGTCCACCCACTGCACAAAAAAAATATTCTCTACTTTGGCAAAGAAATACACTCTGCTTGTTTCTTATACCTAAGATAAAGACAGGCTCTCTACATTTAGCTTTCATTTTTCCACATTTAAAAAATAACTGGATCAGGAGACAGTTCTTAAAACTACTAAACAAAATATAGTATAATTTTAAACAATAGAAATTTACTCATCAGATAAAAGACATAAAAGCTCGATGCAAGGGGGCTCAAACTTACAAATCCTGGTCACTGTACAGTCCAAGTCATGAACAGGGAAGCATTGAGATCATTCCCTCACATATGTTTTGTTTAAAAAGCAAATGCAGAAACTAATGGAGTTTTCACAAACATAACTATTACAGCATGTGACAAGATTAGAAATCCTCTTCATATTTATCCTCTTGAACTAGCAACATATAATTATAAATTATGAATTGTTCAGTTTTGAATTTAGGCCTAGGATTTTTTTATACTAAGACAGTAGTATTAAATTCTTCCTTGTTATTCTAATTAACTTAGATAATAACAAGATTTCCATTCAGCTCACTCTCTGCCCTAATCATATAGAACTTTATATATTCATAGCATAAGTGATACCATCATCTATCTTCTTGCCCTGCCATACAAATGCTATGCTTCACTTCACCTCTCCCTAATCAATCCATCCACCATTTAATTGAATGATTTCTCCTACCTCTGTAGACTCTACCTCCTAAACATTGCTCGAATCTGTTTATTTCCTATTGTTATTACCCTAGTCCAAAGCTACCACACCTACTCTTAGTTCCTCTCAAATAATTTTCTATGTTGCAGCCAGACTGATTTTAAAATGCAATCTGATCATGACACTTCTCTGTTTGAAACCTTTATTAGTTTCCTACTATACTTAAGATAAAAAACCAAAAATCTTTAGTATACTTAGAAAGCTATGTATGACCTGGCCCACACTGATCTCAATTCTCACTTCATGCTGCCTCTACTCCCATTCCTATCTCTAACCTACATACATGCCAGGCCAAATAGACTTCTATGACACAAACTCTTATAGGTACTCTCTACTTCTATTCAGTGTCACCCTTATTAAACTACATGGTCTTCAAGGACAGACAGTGTATTTTTCAAGTTTCCAGGTGGATCTCCAACGTCTAATACATACTTGAGTGGATAAGTATATGAGGGAGAGTGGGAAAAGAAGTAGAGAGAAAAAACAAAAAAAGAAAAAGAAAAAAATTCATTAGGCAAGCATGTCTAGCCATTCAAATGTGTTCTAGAAAAGAAAAAATTCCTTGAGAATAGTCCCATAGTTCCCAGAGAAGTGTTTCAGCTCTTGGAATTATCTACATGGACAAAAAAAAAACTTTCGATTAAAAATTATATTACTGGACTAGGGTTGAAGCTCAGTTGGTAGAGCCTTGCATGTGTGAGGCACTGGATTTGATCTTCAGCACCACATAAAAACAAATAAATAAAATAAAAGTATTGTGTCTGTCTACAACTAAAAAAACATTTTTAAGGCCGGGCCCAGTGGTACATGCCTATAATCCTAGCAGCTCGGGAGGCTGAGGCAGGAGGATTGCGAGTTCAAAGCCAGCCTTAGCAACAGCAAGGCACGAAGCAACACAATGAGACTCTGTCTCTAAATAAAATACAAAAATAGGGCTGGGGATGTGGCTCAGTGGTTACAGTGGTCAATCTCTAGTACCATTATATTACTATACTATAGTTACATAATATGTCATATTGTCGGTTAAATAATATTACCAATTATTTAACTGGGAAAGGAGATTCTTTTTTTGGAAAGAGTATAATTAAAAGCACAATACCAGCCAGGCACAGTAGAACACACTTGTTATCCCAGCAACTTGAGAGGTTGAGGCAGGAAAATCACAGTTTGAGGTCACCCTCAGCAACTGAGGGAGGTCCTAAACAACTTAGCAAGATACTCCATCTCAAAATTTAAAAAATTTTTTAAAGGGCAGGGGATGTAGCACAGTGGTAAAGCAGACCTAGTTTCAATCCCCTCTACCAAAACAAAACAAAACATCACAGTACAAGGAAAAAACTAAAGTCAAATATAGGTAAGCCATGGAAAAAGTAATTATATCATTATAAGGAAAACTATCCCCTGATATTTACTTAATATAAAGATGGTAGGTTAAAAGTATAACTAATACTTCTTTATTAAGTACGACTTTGATACAAAGAATTAAGAATATTTTCAGGAAAATAAGCTAGAAGTTGTCCCCAATTTATTGTGACCTCTTTACTAAAACACTTCTAGGAAAGGAATTAGGACCGTAATCTCACCACTTTGTAATAACAGATACTATCAAAGGCCTGTTCAACACCATGTATAAGCTACAAAATTACATGTAATATCACTTCATTCTTTTCAATTCATGAGGAAGGTATAATTCACTACTTTAAGGACAATGAAACTGAAATAAAATTAAGTAAAACACCTATAGTAACATGGGTAGGAAGTAATATAACTGTAATTGAAACTCAAACATATCTGTTTTATATTTTCTAAAAAACCATCTTAGAGTTTCATTATAATTAAAATATATGTTAATGTAATTTCTCAAATATAGTATTTCTTTTAGATATTTATTCTCTTCATTTTTAATGAAATTTATTTATTTATTTACAAAGGAAATAAGCATTCAAAGAAAGTGACAATTACACAGTAAAGTATAAGATAGAAAATTAAAATCTCATACCAAAGCCAAGGAGTAAACCATTTATTATCTTCTCAGGCATTTTCTTATATATACATAGACATATTATTTGCCATTAATGAAATTATAGAATAATTATAAATTATCTTTTTAACCTAATAAGACATGTTTATATCTCAGCTTTTTCTAAAAGCTGCACAAAATTCCATTGTATGGATATGACATAATTGATCAACATTCAAACTACATTTTACTTGGTTAGTATTATTTCGTGGTTCAGCAAGTTGATCCTCTGTGGAATTGCATTGGGCAAACTGGCTTTCAGTGAATTGATACAAGAAGTATGTTGGATGTAGGATCCATTTACCAAAGTATAGCACATATATTTCTCAAAGAATGCTACATCTAACTTTTCAAGTAGTATTCACAGCAAGTTCCCTAAGCTATGTTCGCACAGAGATAGCTGCTGATAAGCATATCTAAAATTTAACATTCTAACCAAGCTCCTTTACATCTTTGTATTAGCTTTCTTATTAGTCACATGGTGGCCACAAAATTTGCTGTACCAATCAAATGGATTAATGTGAAGATCAAATATATTTAGAAAAATTAAAAGTCAATTGTTATATAAAATGTGTGGCTAGTTTAAATGGTTTCCTTAACAACTAAAAAGGTTAATTAAAAATATGATGTTTAAAAATGTTTAATGTTTATTTCAATCATCCTTAATGTGCAAAGGTTTTTTAGGAAAACCATACAGTTTGTTTAAAGATTTATATTGTAATATCCTATTGATCACATTTTTGTTTCAATCATCCTTAATGAGTAAAACATTTCAGATATACTATATACAATATGATGGGGTTTTTTATCTTTTTATATTTTTATCTATAGATGGACACAATATCTTTATTTTATTAATTTTTATGTAAAGCTGAGAATCGAACCCAGTGCCTCACACATGCTAGGCAAACACTCTACCAATGAGCCACAATTCCAGCCCCTATATTATGATGTTTTAACCTATTTTTTTCATGAGGGGAAATATGCTCTTTATAAAAGATTCAAATGGTACAGAAAAGTACAGTCATGCATCACTTAATAATGGGGATAAGTTGTAAGAAATGCACGATAAGTCATTTCATCACAGTGCAGGCCTCTAAGTATGCTTCTGTGAACTAAGATGGTATAGCCTACTATGCACCTAAGCTATATGGTATTGTCTATTGCCTCTATGTTTTAAACCTATACAGAAGGTTACTTTACTAAACACTTTAGGGAACAATAACAAGATGGTAAGTATCTGTTTATGTAAACATAGAGTAATACAGTAAAAATACAGTACAAAAAATTAAAATAAAATAGTATATATCATAGGGCGCTTACCATGAATGAACCTTGCAGGACTGGAAGTTATTCTCAGTGTCACTGACTGGGGAGTGAATATGAAGGTCTAGAACATTACTGTATACTACCATAGACTTCACTTAAGTTACACTAAATTTATTTTTAAGTGTTTTTTCTTCTTTCAGTAATAAATTAATCTTACTTACTTTAACTATTTCACTTTACAAGCTTTTTTAACTTCTTGACTCTTTTGATGACACTTAGCTTAAAACACAAACACAGCTGTACAAAAATAACTTTTATATATTCTAATTCTATAAGACTTTCTATTTTTTTCTCTTTTTAAAAATACTTTTTAAACTTTTTTGTTAAAAATCTAAGGAGAAAACATTCAGATTAGCCTAAGCACATCTTGTCATATAGGAATGTCCTCAGGAACAACAACATGCATGGAGTTTTCACCCTCCATGATACCCTCCATGATAATAATGCCTTCTTCTGGAATACCTCCTGAAGATCTTCTTGAGGAGGCTTCACACTATTCAGACAGGTATCTACGGTGGTTTCCTTGGTTTGCTTTTTTAATCACAGATTTACTTAGAAGCAGATAATGTACCATTGACTGAAATGTTGTTATGCACTGCTGACTGTACTGAAGTAAATGTTCCTCTTCCAGAAATCATTATTGTTTCTTATGCACCCTCTAGGTATTTTCTATTTAAACATACACAAAACTCATATACTTCGTTTTTTAAATATAGCTGGGCATGGTAACACACAATTGTGATCCCAGCAACTCAGAAATAAGGAGGATCACAAGTTTGAGGCCAGCCGCAGCAAAGTGGGCCTCAAACAACTTAGCAAAACCCTGTCTCAAAATAAAAAGGGCTAGGGATGTAGCTCAGTGGTAAACTGCCCTGGGTTCAATTCCTCCATACCAAAAAAGAAAAGAAAAACAAAAATAAAAATAAAAAACAAAAGATACAATATACATTGACATTTGCTTTTAAAAAAAAAACACATAATAGACATCTTTCCATATCAGAACATAAAGATATCAGTATGGTATTTTAGAAAGGAAATTCATTTTTTTTTGGCGGTGGCGGGGACTGGGGATTGAACACAGGGGCCCTTGACCACTAAGCCACATCCTCAGCCCTCTTTTGTATTTTATTTAGAGACAGGGTCTCAATGAATTGCTAGTGCCTCATTTTTTTTTGAGGCTAGCTTTGAACTTGCGATCCTCCTATCTTAGCCTCCTAAGCCGCTGGGATTACAGACATGTGCCAAAACACCCACCTAGTAAGGAAATTCTATAGAAATCTATAAACATACCTGTTTTGGATGCACCACCTACAGAATTCATTCTTCACTCCATCGGAAATGTTGACCTTGACTGTCAATATCTTCAAATTCTCTCCACGATTAATTGCCAAAATCTGAGCACAAATGTATATGGTAAAAATTGATAATCCACAAAATATATATAAATGATAAATTTAATCAGTCGAAATTCATGACTAATTGAAACCAATTAGGCAGTTATTTAGCCAAGAGCTATTATCAATTATTTATTTTTTAATTTACCAAGAATGTATTCAAATAATAACTTGCTTATACTTTTGAGGGTTTTGGGGGTTTATTTTTTAATTGATTTTTTAAAAAATAAATGACAGTGAAATGCATTGCAATTCTTATTACACATATACAGCACTATTTTTCATCTCTGGTTGTATATAAAGTATGTTCACACCAATTCTGTCTTCATACATGTACTTTGGATAATGATGTCCACCACATTCTACCATCCTTGCTAACACCCTGCCCCCTCCTTTACCCTCCCACCTCTCTGCTCCATCTAGAGTTTGTCTATTCCTCCCACGATCTCCCTCCCTACCCCACTATGCATCAGCCTCCTTATATCAGAGAAAACATTTGGCATTTGGTTTTTTGGGATTGGCTAACTTCACTTAGCATTATCTTCTTCAACTCCATCCATTTACCTGCAAATGCCATTATTTTATTCTTTTATTGCTGAGTAATATTCCATTGTGTATATATGACACATTTTTTTATCCATTCATCTACTGAAAGGCATCTAGGTTGGTTCCACAGTTTAGCTATTGTGAATTGTGCTGCTATAAACATTGATGTGGCTGTGTTCCTGTAGTATGCTATTTTTAAGTCCTTTGAGTATAGATTGAGGAGAGGGATAGCTGGGCCAAATAGTGTTCCATTCCCAGTTTTCCAAGGAATCTCCATACTGCTTTCCATATTGGCTGCCCCAATTTACAGTCCCAGCAGCAGTGTGTGAGTGTACCTTTTTCCCCACATCCTCGCCAACACTTATTGTTGTTTGTCTTCATTTAGCTGCCATTTTGACTGGAGTGAGATGATATCTTAGAGTAGTTTTGATTTGCATTTCTCTAATTCCTAGAGATGATGAACATTTTTTCATATATTTGTTGATTGATTGTACATCATCTTCTGTGACATATCTGTTCAGGTCCTTGGCCCACTTATTTATTGGGTTATTTGTTTTTTTGGTGCTTAGCTTTTTGAGTTCTTTATATACCCTAGAGATTAGTGCTCTATCTGGTGTGTGAGGGGTAAAAATTTGCTTGAGATGCTTATACCTTTCCCAAGCAACTTATTTCTCTTATCAAGTAAACTATAACACACTCTTTGAAAGAAAATACAGTACATTGTATTTTGGTACAATGCAATCTCCTTTTCAGATCCTACTGAAATTTTCTGACCATCTGGAGTTGATATATTTTTTATAACTGTGAAAGATAATTTGTGCTAAAATAAGTACAAAATGCATAATCCTAAGAGGAATCGTTAATAGTTACTAATTGCTATCATTTACTAGCACTAATTGTAAGGCCCGTCTAAGCACTCTGAATACATTATCTTAAGTATTCCTTAAGTCATCAATGATGTATTATCTTCAATTGATAATCATTTTTCTGAGACTAACTTTCCCAAATCACAAAGCTAGCAAATAGCAAAGTAGAAATTTAAATTCATACCCTGTTCTTAATATTATGTTGAAAGAGCTACCATTAAAAACACTCCTTAGAAAAGTGCAAACAAAAGCTAAAATAAGCAGAATAAAGGAAATAAAAGAGTAGAAATTAAGAATTTTAAAAAAAAGACAGAAAATTCAACAAAACCAAAAGATGGGTCTTTCAAAATATCAACAAATTTTTGTTTTGAAATTTTATTTTAGTTGTAAATGGACACAATTTACTATATATATATATTTACTATATATTTATTTAAATAAATAAATGACTTATTTATTTTTTTATGTGGTGCTGAGGATGGAACCCAGTGCCTCATACCTGCTAGGTGGAGCGGTCTACCTCTGAGCCACAACTCCAGCCCAATATCAACAAAACTGACAGATCTTTTGCTAACCAAAAGAATGAACACTCAAATTACCCAAAGCAAAAGAGAGAGGCCATTACTATGGATCATAGAAATAAAATATCCTAACAAAATATTATGAACAACTATATACCAAATTAGATAACTTAGATAAAATGAAAAAAAGTCCTAAAAAGACCCAAATTACCAAAAGCAAATCAAAAGAAAGAGAAAATGTGAATAGATCTAAAAGTAAAAATATTGAATTGGTAATTCTAAAATTTCCCATAATGAAATGTCCAGGCTTAGGTGGCTCCACCATAGAACTCTGCCATTTTAAGAAGACATAATACCAATTCTTCATAAAATTTTCCAAATATATAAGAGAAGGAAAAAAAAATTCTCTTCAAGGCCTGTATTATACTGATACAAAACCAAGCAAGATGTCACAAGAAAATTACAGACCAATATCTCTTATGAATATAGATGTAAAAATCCTCAGCAAAATAACAGCAATCCAAATTCAGAAATACATAAACAGGATTACACACCAAGACAGAGTATAATTAATTCCAGGAATGTCCAGTGGTTTATCGTCTGGAAATCAATTAATATAATACATTATATCAATTCAATAAAAAATAAAAAATCACCTGGTTAATCTCAATAGATTCAAAAACATTTGACAAAATCTAGCAGTTCTTCAAGTTAAAAACACTAAAAAATTAGTAACAGAGGAAAGTTCTTTAATGTAAGAAATAATAGAATGAAACTGAAAGTAAGTAGTGGGATAAAGCAGAATTATTGTAGATGTCAGCAATGAACAGGAAATAGGTAGTAAAAAAAAAAAAAAAAGGCAAATGAAGTGGGATCAGTGAAAGCAGCAGCAAAAAAAAGAACAGAAATGGAAGATCCCAGGAGAGAATGTGAAGGCCAAGTGACAAATTCATATAATAAAAAAGACTTCACTAAGGACCAATGAAAAGTTGTAACCAGAGTAATTAATTTAGTAGACAGGCCTAACAGCTCCCTCCACAACACATGGAGAAATTATAGGGAATGCTGTTTCTTTACCACAGATTTCCATCATTTTCATAGGTTTCTGTATTCCAAGCTACTACATCTTCGGACATTTACGTAGAGGCTGAAAAATAGGGTTCAGAGCTGGGGACACAGGGCCTCAGCACTGAAGGGTTTAGAAAGCTATCTTTGTGACATCATCCCTCTTGCATTCAAAATAATCTAAAAAGTTCTTAAAACATAGGACTGTTTTTCAAAACTGACATTCCCCAAAGGGTTTACTTTCTCAGGCCTAAGTTCTTTACATCTAGAAGATTGTGTCAATCACAAACTTAAATTTAGTTACAAACTAACCCAGAATGACACATGGATTAAACATACTATTTAAAATGTGTTTTAAATGCTGAGACCAACAAAATATTTTCAAGCAAATATTAGAAAGGATGGTTTCAGAAAAATAAAACTGCATGTTTTCCAAAGTTGTATTAAAATTTTAAAAAGCAAAGAAGGGACAAAATATGATATCGTCATTTCCGTAAAAGGAAATTAAGTATGCTTAGTTACTAATACTATTAGAAATTATTTCTTCATTATGCTATATCTATTGACAAAACCTGGCAAGTAAAATATCAAAGTGTTAACATTTTTTCAAATTACTAAAAGTATATACACTTCACCCAATATGATACAATGTATAAAAACCAAAATTGACAACTTTGGAATATACATAGTGAAACTTTTCTTCAAGGGCACAGGCCATGTCACCTTGATTCTCCAATTAAGATCCAAAATATAATAACTATATAAAAAATATCTTTGGGATAATTAAAGATTTTCATATCATGTTACAACAAGATCAAAATATTCTGTGTCTGTGCTATCATAAGTTTTTCGAAAAATTCTATTTTTAGTATGGAAATTAAATGTTGTATAAATGGTAAAGCATTCTACTACTTTCCATCATCCCCTTTTTACCACAGTAAAATGCAGACAGTAAGAGAAATAAATTTTTTAATTATTTATTGAAGACTTCAGGTTTGTAGAAGAGTGACAGTCTCCTGATTCTAAATCTCCCTTCATCCTCCTAGAAGAACCACAAAATCAATAAAGAGAATTAATAAAGCAACAGAGGACATCTTCAGCTGAGATTTTTATCTAAGACAGATTTCTTCAAAACGATATTCAAGGAAAAGCAACAGCAGTATAATGTATTCAAGAAACTTTAAAAAAAAAAAAAAAGAAACTTAAGGAAAAAAAAGTGCAAAAAAATGTTTAAATGTGCCAGAACTAAGAATACTGAACCATATACTAGGGTAGTGGTCAGCAAACTATGGTTCATGAGAGTGGCATTGGTTTGGACAGAGCTTCTTCACTAGGCCCAACAGTCCAAATCAAAATGGAGTCACTTATGCAAGTTCCAAGTCATCCAACAAGTTTGTTTATAGGATCTTCCAAGAAATCAGGAGAGTGAGAAATACAGTAAGAGTCAATCCCCAACATGACAGTTTTAGCCTGCATAATAGCTCCAACCTTTATAAAGAAAGTAACTTCGAAAAAACCAATCTGCTTTTTTGTATTCTTTCTGCTTTCCCCAGATCAATTTTTTTCTATAAAGCCAAACTCTTCTGCTCAGCTCATCAGAATAGTCATTGTATGTTATATGAGGCCTTGTCCCATTCTAGAATCCCAAATAAAACACAATTAAGATTTTGTTGTAATTTTGTCTTCTGACAGGATTAAGCCTATCTGACATCTATTTTTGTAAATAAAATCGCTAAAACACATTTATGATCACTCACTTACGTATCACCAGTGACTATTTTCATACAACATGGTAGTTGTATATTTTCAAAAAAAAATTATCTAACAAGCCTAAAATATTTACCCTCTGTAAATTTTTACAGGAATGGTCTACCAGTTTCATACTAGATTAGAGAATAAGCTTCATTCATCCAAATGACCAGGAAGCTGTGGCAACAGGACTAAAAACAGGTATTTTGAATAATTGTGGGGCTATGATTAAAGCAAGAGTGGGATCATTTTTCATTAAGAGAGCACACACTACAATCCTAATAGATAAAGAAGACTTCAAGACAAAAAGCACTAAACAAGACAAGGAAAGAAACTTAATAATTTTAAAAGCCATATTCTATTTGTGGAACTGAGGGGCATACTTACTACACTTCAAAGATGTTGACAGGAATATCACTAAAAATGGTAAAATCAGGAACTCCAGAACTCTTTTCTAATACAAAATTAGCAGAATGAACTTTTTCAGAGCTCTGGGATCTAAAAAAAAATTTCAACAACCAGAACATCACCCACTGAAGAGGGAAGCTGCATAATTTCCATAAGAGAGCACTTTTAACTTACCTGCTTATACCCGCTACTCTGGGGTTCAGCAGGGCCTTGAAGATAACAGTCCACATCCCACATTTCTGGGGCAGGTTCCTGGCACCAGAGGGAGCAATACAGATCTTCTTCTCAAGTACTTGAGATTTTGTGTTTTAATCTGTCTGGATTGATTTAAAGGTTTGCCTTTGTTTCACTTGTCTTAGAGCTTACCCAGAGCAGAAGCAGCTTTCTAGGGGGACTAGGTCAAAAAGGTTTTTTTTTAATTTTGTTTTCATTTTTGTCTTTGCAGTACTGGGGATCAAACCAGGGCCTCATGGTTCATGAGCTCTACCACTGAGCTATACCCTCAGTCCTGTCAAAAGTATTTCAAAGCAAATGTCTTGGTCAGAGTCATTAAGGCTATGGCAACTAATAAAAAGACCAAAATAAAGAAAAGAAAATAAATAGGGAAGAAAGAGGCTAGAAAACGAGATATTTGAGGGAGGCTAGAAAACGAGATATTTGAGGGGAAAAGTTCTTTTAAAAATTCCTGTGTATATCAGGGACTCTAGGAGGTGCCTGCATACCTAGGGCTGGATATATGCTCTAAAAATCCCCAAGCTTTCACCTCTGACTTTGTGTTGCATGTAAACAGCAAGCAAAGGTGAAAACAACAAGGCAGAGTTGCTAATGGCTTCTCTATATTTTGAAGAAGCGCCCCAACACAGAACCAATCTACAAAGGCTGAGTTTGAAAATTTCGTTTTTAACTCCATGCTTTTGTTTTTTGTTTGTTTGTTTGGTTGGTTGGTTTTATTTTGTTTTGTTGTGGCATTGGGGATTGAACTCAGGGTCTTGTGCATGCAAGGCAAGCAATCTACCAACTGAGCTATATCCCCAGCCTTGACTCCATGGTTTTAAGGAAATCTCTGGCAAATAGCTAGCTACTTACTAAGCTAACAGAAAAGAGACTGTTCAGAGTCCAAACATGAAAAGAACATAGAGATTTACAAAAGTAATTCAGAAAAGTCACTAAAACAAATAACCCACAACCAATAACTAAATTGGGGAAGTGAGAGAATGATTTCCAGAGTTGCCAAGTTACCAAGAAACAAGTTATATAAAGAAAGAAATTATGATCCACTAACAGGAGGAAAAAAAATGAAAAGAAACTAAAAAAGAAAGTCCCTGAGGAAGCACAGACACTGGCCTTACTAAACTAAGCTTTTAAATCCACTGTGTTAAATGTGCTCAGACTTGAAGGAAATCGTGGACAGAGACCTAAAGGAAGCCAAGAGAATGATATTTAACTATACGAACAAACAATAAAGCTAAGAAATTTTGAAAAGGAACCAAATAGAAATTATGGAGCTGAAAAGCACAATGAAATATTCACTAGTGGGGTTCAATAGCAAATTTTTTTGTCCTTTTTCTTTCTTTCTTTTTTTTTTAAATTTGTTCCAATTAGTTATACATGACAGCAGAATGCATTTCAACTCACTGTACACAAATGGAGCTTTTCATTTCTCTGGTTGTACACAATGCAGAGTCACACCATTCATGCAATCATACATGTACACAGGTTAATAATTACCATCCCATTCTTCCATCCTTCCTACCCCTATGCCCCCTCCTGTTCGCGGCATCCCCTTTCTCCACAGAAAAGTCTTAACAGGGCTTCTCCAGAAATCTTCACCATGGCTGATTTTAGGACTGTCAGCAAGAGACTCTACAAAAGAGTCCAATGTAGATAAACTTCCTATTTTCGTGTTGCCCTATCTTACTTGACCACTGGCCAGGAAGAAACCAGCACTCCAGATGCTGGACACCCCCTTACTAATTTTTCACAAACATATCCAGTATACTAGTTTGTAGAAATGTGTAAACAAGGCCTCTGGCCTTGAGCTGGGGCTTCACAGAGATGTCTACATTTCTAAGAGAAGAGAAGATACCAATTTGGCTCCATGGTAACAGCTGGCAGGCAGAGGAAAGAAAGGGAAGAAGAAGCTCTCACCTTCTCAGGTGTTGTCCTTGAAGGGTTAACTTGCCCAAAACAGTGAAGAAAAAAGCTGCTTTTATGTGAACTTCTGCAGACTGTGAACTTCTGAGCCCCTCCCCTTACATGCTAGGTATAAAACTCTGAAACTACCTGAACTCGGAGTTCAGGGGATTGATTGATTTCAGCAAAAGCTGTGCCCTCTGAACCAGGCTTCAGCCAAATAAAACTGTTTCCTGCTATCTTCGGTGCCTTGTCTCATCTGTCCCTATAACACTCCCCTCCCCTCACTCCCCTTTGCTCAATTCAAAATTCCTCCATTTTTCCCTTGTCCTTACCTCCCACCCCATTAAGGATCACCATCCACATATTAGAGAAAACATTTGATCTTTGGTTTTTTGGAATTGGCTTATTTCACTTAGCATGATATTCTCCAACTCCATCCATTTACCTTCAAATGCCATAATTTTATTCTTCTTTAAGGCTGAGTAATATTCTATTGTATCTATGCACCACAGTTTCTTTATCCATTCATCTATTGAAAGACATCTAAGTTGGTTCCACAGTTTAGCTATTGCGAATTCAGCTGCTATTGTGAATTGAGCTGCTATAAACATTGATGTAGCTGCATCACTGAAGTAGGCTGTTTTTAAATCATTTGGCTATAGAACAAGGAGTGGGATAGCTGGATCATATGGTGGTTCCATTCCAAGTTTTTTAAGGAATCTCCATACTACTTTCCAGAGTGGTTGCAACCATTTGCAGACTCAACAACAATGTATGAGTGTACCTTTTCCCCCACATCCTCACCAACACTTACTGATGCTAGTATTCTTGATTATTGCCATTCTGACTGGAATGAAATAAAATCTTAAAGAGTAGTTCTGATTTACATTTCTATAATTGCTAGAGATGTTGAATAATTTTTCATATATTTGTTGATCAATTATATATCTTTTTCACTTCCTTAGCCCATTTATTGATTGTATTATTTGGGGTTTTTTTGATGTTAAGTTTTTGAAGCTCTTTATATATCCTGGAGATTAGTGATCTATCTGATGCCTATTTGGTAAAGATTTTCTCCCATTCTGTTGGCTCTCTCTTCATGTTACTGATTGTTTCCTTTGCTGAGAAGAGCCTTTTTAGTTTGAATCCATCCCATTTATTGACTTTGATATTATTTCTTGTGCTTTAGGAGTCCGTTAAGGAAGTCAGATCCCCAAGCCTACCTGATGAAGATTTGGGTCTGCTTTTTCTTCTATTAGGTGCAGGGTCTCTGGTCTAATCCCTAGGTTCTTAATCCACAATAAGTTGAGTTTTGTGCATGGTGAAAGATAGGGGTTTAATTTCATTTTGCTGCATATGAATTTCCAGTTTCCCCAGCACCAATTATGGAAGAGGCTATCTTTTCTCCAATGTATGGTTTGGGGGTGGGGGGGTTGGTGCCTTTGTCTAATATGAGATAACTATATTTATGTGGGTTTGTCTCTGTGTCTTCTATTCTGTACTATTGGTCTACATGTCTGTTTTGTTGTCAATACCGTGCCAATTTTATTACTATAGTTCTGTAGAATATGTTAAAGTCTGGTATTGTGGTGCCTCCTGCTTCTTTCTTCCTGCTAAGGATTGCTTTGGCTATTCTGGGTCTCTTATTTTTCCAAATGAATTTCATGATTGCTTTTTCTATTTCTGAGGAATCTTGTTGGGATTTTAATTACAATTGCATTAAATCTGTATAACACTTTTGGTAATGTGATATTTTGACAATATTTTTTTTAATATTTTATTTTTTAGTTATCAGCGGATACAACATCTTTGTTTGAATGTGGTGCTGAGGATCGAACCCGGGCCGCACGCATGCCAGGCGAGCGCGCTACCGCTTGAGCCACATCCCCAGCCCACATTTTGACAATATTAATTCTGCCTATCTATGCTTCCATCTTCTAAGGTGATCTTTAATTTCTTTCTTTGGTGTTCTGTATTTCATTGAAGAGGTCTTTCACCTCTTTTGTTAGGTTGATTCCCAAGTTTTTTGTTTGTTGTGGCTATTGTGAAAGGGGTAGTTTTCCTAATTTCTCTCCCAGAGGATTCATCACTGATGTATAGAAATGCATTTGATTTATGAGTGTTGATTTTATATCTTACTACTTTACTGAATTCATTTATTAGTTCCAGAAGTTTTCTGGTGAAATTTTTTGGATTCTCTAAATATAGAATCCTATAGTTGGCAAAGAGTAATAGTTTAAATTCTTCTTTTCCTATTGGTATCCCTTTAATTTCTTTCTTCTAATTGTTCTGACTAGAGTTTCAAGGACTATGTTGAATAGAAGTGGTGAAAGAGTGCAACCCTGTCTTGTTTCAGTTTTTAAAGGAAAAGCTTTCAATTTTTCTCCATTTAGAGTGCTGTTGGCCTTGGACATAATAGCATAGATAGCTTTTAAAATGTTCAGTTATGTTACTACTATTCCTAGTTTTTCTAGTGTTTTCAACATGTAGGGGTGCTATATTTTGTCAAATGCTTTTTCTGCAGCTATTGAGATGATCATATGATTCTGACCTTTAAGTCTATCAATGTGATGAATTACATTTATTGATTTCCATATATTGAATCAATCTTGCATTCTTGGAATGAACCCCATTTGATCATTGTGCATTCTTTTTAATATGTTTTTGTATGCAATTTGCCATAATTTCATTGAAGAATTTGGCATCTATGTTCATCAGGGATATTGGTCTGAATTTTTCCTTCTTTGATGGGTCTGCTTTTGGTATCAGGTTGATACTAGCCTCATAGAAAGAATTGGGAAGAATTCCTTCCTTTAATATTTCATGGAATAATTTGAGGAGTATTGGTATTAATTCTTCTTTGAAAGTCTTGTAGAACTCACGTGAGAATCCCTCTGGTCTTGGGCTTTTCTTCGTTGGCAGGGTTTTGATGGCATCTTCTATTTCATTGCTTGAAATTGACCTATTTAAATTGTGCATATCTTCCTGATTCAGTTTGGGCAGATCATGTCTCTAGAAATCTGTTGATGTCTTCAAGATTTTCTATTTTACTGGAGTACAATTTTTCATAAAAGTTTGTAATTATCTTCTGTATTTCAATAGTATCTGTTGTGATATTTCCTTTTTCATCATGAATTTTAGTAATTTGAGTTTTCTCTCTCCTTTTCTTTAGGGTGGTTAAGTGTTTGTCAATTTTATTTATTTTTTCAAAGAATCAGCTTCTCGTTTTATCTATTTTTTCAGTTGTTTCTTTTGTTTCAATTTCATTTGATGTTAGTCCTGATTCTAATTACTCTCTGTCTTCTACTTTTAGTGTTGGTTTATTCTTCTTTTTCTAGGGCTTTGAGATGTAATGTTAGGTCATTTATTTTCTTTTAAGATTTTTTAAATATGTACACAATATCTTTATTTTTAGGTGATGATGAGGATGGAACCCAGTGCCTCACATGTGTGAGGCAAGCTCTCTGCTGCTGAGCTATAAGCCCAGCCCCAGGTCATTTATTTTCAACAGCAAATTTGAGCAAACAAAAACAAGTCATCAAAGTTGAAAACAGGACAATTGAAATTACACAATTTGAGATGAGAACAAAAAAGGAATAAAAAAAACTAATAGAGTCCCTGTGGGATACTACCAAGCACTACATATAATGGAAGTTCCACAAGAGGGGAGAAAGAGGCCAAAAGATTATTTGAAGAAATAATGACCAGGAGTTTATCAATTTTGACTTTTTTAAAAAAATTACTCTATGCATCTAAGAATCACAATGAACTACAAATAGAATAAACTCAGAGACTCCCAAGGCACGTTATCATCAAAATTTCAAAGACAAAGGCAAAGAATCTTGAAAGAAGAGTGAGAAAGTAACTTGGCACACTAAGATTAGCAGCTGACTGCTCATCAAAATTTATGAAGTGTCCAGGCATGGTGGCACAAGCCTATAACCCCAATGGTTTGGGAGGCTGAGGCAGAAGGATTTAAGTTCAAAGCCAGCCTCAGCAACTTAGGGAGTCCCTAAGCAATTTAGCAAGACCCTATCTCAAAATAAAAAATTAAAAGGAGAGTAGGGCTAAGGAATGTGGCTCGGTGGCCACTGAGCACCCGTGAGTTCAATGCCTGCCACAATAAAAAGAAAAATCATGGAAGGCATACCACAAGATGGTAAATGACATATCCAAAGTTACAAAAGACTGCCAATTAGGAATTCTATACTCAGAAAAATCATTCTTCAGAAATAATGAAAAAGTTTAATGGGTAGAGTTTCAGTTTTGCAAGATGAAAAGGTTCTGAGACAGGTTGTAGAAACATTACTCATTCTTAAAATGATGAAGATCATACATTTTATGTTATGTGTATTTTACTGCAGTTATGTAAAAGTTAATTAAAATGAGAACTTAAGACTTCCCAGATAAACAAAAACTATGAAAGTCTGTCATTAGTAGATCTGCCCTACATAAAATATAGTGGGGGGACAGTGTTTGCAGTTTAGGATTGGAATGAAAAGACAGTAGTCAGTAACTCAAAGCCAAATGAAGAAATAAAGAACATGGTTAAGGTAACTATACAGGTAAATATAAAAGCCAGTACTACTGTATTTTTTATTTATAACTCCTCTTGTTTCTCCTATATTATTTAAAAACCAATGTTTTTTAAATTCTACAATGTACACATGCATTCCCTAAATGACTATATTTAAAAAAAAATTAGTAAACTGGAAAATGAAATCAGAAGACTGAGTAACAATGACTATGGTTCATGCAACCAAATGAGATCTATCACACTTTATTCTAAACCAGACATCTCTGATTTGTATTTCATGTAGAAAAGAAACCCAAGCAAACGGGGAATCAGAGTCTAACATGAAAGATCACCAGGCAGAAAGCAAGAAATCTAAGTTGTTATATTGTTGGCTCTGCTAAAAATTCCCAGTGTCACTAACTTCTCTAGGTCTTTAGTTTCCCATTTGTGAAATTAGGAAAATATAATATTTTATAAGAAATGTGTATGAAGAAAAAAGAAACCAGATGACATAAAATTCTTTAAATTCTTAGGTAAGTAAAGCAGCAGGCAAGTATAGAGCACTATCATTACTACTGGCATCAGAACATACAAGTAGTTCCTTACTCACCTGATGATGCTGGATGTTTCTTATGTTACATGAAAAGTTCTGGTAGAGCTGAAACTTATCAACATCTTTCTCATTTACCTTTTTTGAGGACACTTTTGCCAGAGATGACTGGATACAAATGTATCTATTTTGGCACCTGATCAGATACACAAATGTTCAAAAAAATTAATATTTTATTTACTTATTTAAGTACTGGGATTGAACCCAGGGTGCTATACCACTAAATTACATTGCTGGCCATTTCTATTATTTATTTTGAGGCAGTCTTGCTAAGTTGCTGGGGCTGGCCTCAAACTTGTGATCCTCCTGCCTCAGCCTCCCAAGTTGCCAGAATTATAAGCATGTATCCAACTAATAAGTACCTCAGTAGAACAAAAATAAGTTATATGGAAATAAGGATAGCAAAAAAATTAAGCCATTACCAAGTGCAATGTGTTTAATGATGCCCAATTATGAAAACAATAGAATTATTAACCCATCATAAGGACATTTTGCCTACCAGCTAACATATATCCTACAGAACTATTTATGTGTCAACCCAATATGCCTAAATGAGTTCAAATACCATTTATAGTTACGCAAGAGACCAAAACTATCATAGGAATCAGACTAATAACTGTAGTCTAAATATCATCCTTCCCTAACCACTGAATTATTCAGTCACAATCAATTAAAAGCTAAAAAAAGAAAGAAACAAAAGGATGTACCAGTATAGCTTCCTATAATAATTTATCAAACTGAGACAAATTTCAGTTGCATAATTACTCACACACACACACCCAAAAAAAAATTAATCTAATCACTTTTCCTACTTCAACCCATTCCTGCTAGGACCACTGAGAATACAGAAAAGTTCTCTTCCTTGAATTAACAAAACCCCTGATGCAATAGCAATCAACTGGTTCATCTCCTTTCCTCTTTCCGCAAAGTCATATAGCTGGAGGTATGGAAGGACACACAGCAAAAGCAAATCTCTGGCAGAAACCTACCATTTCTTTTGATAGATAGCAGAAAAAGAACAACAGGGTACATAAAAATAAGGTTTTATGGGCTGGGTTTGTAGCTCAGTGGTGGAGCACTTGCCTAGCACATGTGAGGCACTGGGTTCAATACTCAGCACCACATATAAATAAATAAGATAATTTTGACAACTAAAAAACATTATGTAAAAAAAAATTTTAAATAAACAAATACAGATGCATCAACAACTAAACAAAAAAATTAACTACAATTTTAAAGTAATGCCTTTTTAAGGCATACTCATACATTGCTGGTGGGACTGCAAATTGGGACAGCCAATATGGACAGCAGTATGGAGATTCCTTGGAAAACTATAAATGAAACCACCATTTGACCCAGCTATTCCTCTCCTTGGTCTATATCCAAATGACTTAAAAATAGCATACTACAGGGACACGGGCACATAGCAGCACAATTCACAATAGCTAAACTATGGAACCAACCTACATGCCCTTCAGTAAATGAATGGATAAAAAAAAAATGTAGTATAAACACACGATAGAATATTACTAAGTAATAAAAGAGAATAAAATCATGGCATTTGCAGGTAAATGGATGGAGTTGGAGAAGATAATGCTAAGTGAAATTAGTCAATCCCAAGAAACCAAATGCCAAATGTTTTCTCTGCTATAAGTAGGCTGATGCATACTGGGGTAGGGAGGCAGAATATGGGAGGAATAGACAAACTCTAAATAGGGCAAGGGAGTAGGAGGGAAAGGGAGGGGGCATGGAGTTAGAAATTGATGGAGGGATGAGATGGACATCATTATCCAAAATACATGAATGAAGACACGAATGGTGTGAATATACTTTGTATACAACCAGAGATATGAAAAATTGTGCTCTATAAGTGTAATATGAACTGTAATGCCTTCTGCTGTCATACATAACAAATTAGAATAAAAAAATTTTAAAAAATCGGAGTTGCAAGATATGTCTTCTTTTCATACAACTATTGATATATTTTTAAATGAAATAAATTAGCATCTTACATCTAAAAAATTTCCATGAAGCAAAGACTTGAAAACAATTATCTAGCCAATTCAGTTAGGAGAAATACATATATTTTCCCTTGATGTCTAAAGTCAGAGTTGTTTGGATTAAATCTAAACTATATAGGGTTGCATTATCTACCCATTATTCTATTTTTATGTTATAATCCAAACACACTTGAGCTGATGCATTAAAACTACAGAAATATTTTCATAAACATAAAAAGATGTTCATACAATCTATCCTAGTATATTAGTGAATATGCATAGAAAAGTATATTGTGAGTAAGCACTCTTAGAAATCTGCAACAGTAGTAAGAATGGTAACTGAGTGTGTGGCTAAAAATTATTTTTGCTTATCTGTACTGTTGACTTTTTAAATTGTTAAAATTAGAAAAGCAAAAGTGGTCATTTATAAAATCTAAAAGTAACATAGAACTATTAAAAAAAAAAAGTATATGTTCCTTTTTACTGACAGCTACCCCACATGATATCCTACCTCTTGGAAACCTCTCCTCAGGAGTGAACATTTTTATGTGCTTTATAAATATTTTCTATGTCTCTTGTATAAAAATATAGGAATTTGTTTATATTATAGGATTATGCTTGAATTTCTATTTTAATTTATCATATACATTATTCCATATTTGTAAAATTCTATTTACTAGGTAAACTTTTATACTTTATGCAATTGGTATGTATTACTATCGTAGGAAGAAAATAAACTTTATTTTAAAAATATTTAAAAATTAATGCCTTTTTTAAAATGAGGCATAAAATCCATGAGCCCAAATAGGTCTAGCAAAGAGTTTTAATCTCATAAATGCAGATTGTGATGCAATGGATGGATAAGCTGCTCCCCGCAGAAGCCAAAATTCATTTTAAGGTCAGTGCTTTTATCCATATCTCATATGACACATTCTGAAGATAACGCAATTGCCAATAAACTCCATAAATTAACTATTATAAAATTAAACATGTACATCACAATTAACATGTTTAAGAAAGCAATGCTACCAACTCTAAATAAGCATAAATCTCTAGTAGATGTTATGTAAATGCAGTGGTTTCTAAACTGTTTTCATCAGAGCCCTCCATTGAGGTGCCGGGGTTTAATAAGATGAGTAGATAGAGTTCCAGGCTCCCTGACCATAATTCAATTAAAACATCTTTTCTTTTATCTGTTCTATATATTAAGGTTCTATTGTTTGAAAAAAGTGATCTGATACTAGGGGAAAAAAAAGTCTGAAGACAGTTTTTAATGAACACTGGTGTTAGCAGTAACCATGTGACCCTTAACAACAAAAGCCCACAAAGCAGAAAATTCTGTGAAAGAGTTACTCACAATTTCCGAATGAAATCAAGCGTGTCTTTGTCTTTAGCAATCATGTCTGCCAAAATATGCTGCACTCCTGTTTCAATATCCTGGAGTGCTGACAGCCCTTTAGGTGAAGGGTAAGAGGGAGAACAAAAACACAAAGTATAAAGATTGCTTTTAATGCCGGTAATTACCACATTATTTTAAATCCTAGTTGAAATAAAATTTTAACTTAACAAACTTAAGACAGAAAGATACCATAACAATGACTAGCTTCCATATGCAACAAAAGAGAGCCTCCAGAAGCAATACTGTAGGGCCTTCCCATAATATATTGCCTAGTAGTAAAAAGGCAGGTTTGGAGACAGCTGCCTGATCTGCTCCTGGTTCTAATACTAATTGTGGAACCCTGGGAAAGTTTCTTAACTTCTCTACCTCAAATTTTCTATAAAAATAATAGTAATGCTTTCATGAAGTAGTTGCAAAAATTAAATGAGATGGTAAATATGTAGTAAGAGTCATCTCCCAAGGTTCATAAATTTTTCAATTGTTACAAAAACTCTCCTTATAAGCAATTTTATTACTACTCCTATTTTGGATTATAAAACATTTATTTACATTTTCAATGACCCAGCTGAATTTCATAAACCTCACAAACATAAAACAAAAGCTATAGTTCGAATATTCATCTTCAAAATAAAATTGTCTCTCAGTGATGTACTATGTTCTCTCCAAGTGCTTTAGATTTGCTAATTTACAGAACTCACTCTTATTTATCATGGCCCCTGTGAAATCAAACTATATAGAAAAATGTCATTTGCATTGCCTTCCTTCATTTCCTTTGTCTTTATTGTTTTATTTGCATTAAAAGTGTTTTGGTGGTGTTGTTTTATATGAAAGCTTAAATTACACTGCACTGAGTATGTTGTTCATGTATGTTTTTCTGTGGACACAGTTTTAATGAAGAAGAGGCATAAAAGCCAAAGAGAACAGAAAAACAGACTTACTATGACCTAATTAATAAAAAAGCAAAATGCCTTATTGTTATTGTTATGATAGTTAATGTAATTGTGATAGTAGTTAATTGTAACTACTGAAGTAATTGTGTTTAAAGAAATTCAAAGAGAAATTTTACTGTGGAAATTAATAGAAATTCTATTTCCATTTGAAGAGAATTTCTCTATGAAGAAAATTTCAGAAACAAATTAACTTTATAAGGTGGAAGACTATATGCAAAATACTTAGAACAGCTCTAACATAGTGAGCACTCAATAAATGTTTGCTCCTATGTTAGGCATCTCCCTACATCAGCCTTCACCTAATGCACAGAAAATGATTATTCTCTATGGTTATCATCTCTATGGTTATTCTCTATGCACTACTTCTAGGATACTCAAATCACCTTGAAGTGTTATTACTCAAAAGTCTTATGATAACATCATGGTAATGAGTAAAGATGGAATCTATAATGATGTACAGAATAGAAAGAAAAAATTATACACATTGCTATAAAAAGAGGCTTTGAAAGGTGGCTCAGCGGTAGCTCACCTGCCTGGCATGTGTGAGGTACTGGGATCAATTCTCAGCACTGCGTATAAATAAATAAAGGTCTATCAACAACTAAAAAACATTAAAAAAAAAAAGGCCCCATCACATTGGGGGAATACAGTTAGAGAACCTTATGTAGTTACTGAACCTTTCATAATTAAAATTACATTAGAGCTCTAGTACAATGGTTTGTGAAATAGTCTGAATACCTGAAAATGAAACTATACTAGGTACTTGTTAAATATACAGATTTCAGACTGGGGTGTTATCCAGTGGTAGAGTACCTGTTAGTATGCACAAAGCTCTAGGTTCAATACCTGGCATGTATGCACGCGCGCGCGCACACACACACACACACACACACACACACACACACCCCTCAAACTATGGGATTGTACTGTTTCACAGAGCATCCCAAATGATTCTGAAACTCATTAGACTTTTAAAAACCACTGCTAGGGAGGTACCTTGAACTACCTCTACAGCAGAGGTTCTCAGTGGGAGGCAGAAATTATCAGAATCATTTGGGAAGATCTTTCAAATTACATATCCTTCTCAGCCCAGAGAATAATTGAAAAATATGAGTCTTGTGTGTTTTGAAAAATTCCTTCTCCAGTCAAAGAGAATTGATTTTAGAGGTGCATAATATAGCCAAAGACAACAGGAGTTCCTAAACTTCAGTCTTTCAGTGAAAGCAAGAGTAAATTAAGACCATAGAATCAGAAAATCCTGTCCCTTGCCTTACAATGTAATCTTTCTAGCCACCGACTCTCCAGATCTCCACATCTGAAACAAAAATTGAAAAGTCCCAGGGGCTGGGGTTGTGGCTCAGGGGTAGAGCACTTGCCTCGCATGTGTGAAGCACTGGGTTTGACCCTCAGTATTACATAAAAATAAATAAATAAACAAAATAAACATATTGTGTCCATCTACAACTAAAAAACATATATATAGAAAAAAACTGAAAAGTCAACATTTCATTTCTCTCTTACTACACTTAGGCAACCTCCTGTTACATTCAACAAAATAATCAGCTACTACTTGTGTACAGTATGGATCGCCTAGGACACAGTCCATCTGCAGTATAGAATAGATTTGATTCAAACCAAATTTTGTTAGTCTGTGGCAAGCAACAAGTGTCTTCCACTGGGGGAAAAAAATCTGAAATATCCAGTTTCTTAAATATTTCTTGAGGAATAATGAAAATACTTTAGAAAAATAGTAATTAAAAATGATCGTGTGTATGTATACCGGAAAAACAGTGAAGGGGCAGTGAGACAGGAAAAAACATTTCAAATTTTTAAAAGCAGTACCTGGCTTATTTAGAATTAATTATAATTCTTCTACATTTATGATCAGGATAAAAGAATAAAGCAAACAAAGTCTTGATATGTTTGCAAGTACTACTTGTGTTGGCTCTGAGCTATTCATCTACGTGATCAGAAGTATCACTACCAGGTATCCATCATCATGTATTCCAGGAGCTACACCACATATGACAATCAAGAGATAGTTATTAAAAACCTACTCAATAGGAACTCAGTATGTGTGAGAACTAAGGAGATCTTTAGTCCAAAGGGGGTGGGAAGAAGAAGGAAAAGAAATTAATCATAAGGAAAAAAGAGGAAGTAAATCTGTGTGCATCTAACATACCAAAAGCTCCAACATTCCATTCTAATAAAACATTCCATGATGGGCACAGACAGTTTCCACTGTGATTAACCTTAAGGTTTGGCTATTCAATCTCAGCTATTATTAAAATATTAAATATTGCAACCATTTGAAATTTTAACTTTAAATACACATTAAAAAATTAAAACATGTGAATGTTACTTATTTCAAACCATCTCTAAATTCAAATATTACTATTTTGCTTTTCCTTTTCATTGTTGTCTCTTCCCAAAGATATTAAGATGAGTTTGTATGAACAATATTTGTATTTTACAGACAAACACACAAATCTACAATTTCTGGATTATTTAAATCTAAAAATGGGTTATGGTATGCTATTATTCTCTACAGTTAAGTACAAAGTGTGAATTTTGTTATCAGAGGCTGCCCCCTACAGACATTTATGACTCCCATCCTAAAGAATCAACAGAAGGCTGAAGAAACTACAATGGAGATAGAGACATACAGCTCAAAGTTGCAGTTATTTCAAGTAAGGTAGGCTGACTAAACCTTGAGATCCAGTGAATAAAAATGAAAATTAGTTAACAATATTATGTACTGGAAATTTACTAAGAGAATAAACTTTAGGTGCCCTTACTACAAAAGAATAAAAAAGGGAACTGTAAATTAATGAATATGTTAATTTGAATATCAAGTACAGTACTGTTTTACTATAGTAGTCATTTATGTACACACACACACACACACTCACAAATGTTTGTGTATAAATATCAAAACATCTTGGAGACAAGCACGGTGGCAAACACCTAAAATCCCAGCTACTTGGGAGGTTGTAGAAAGAGAATCACAAGCTCAAAGTCAGCCTTCAAATAATTAAGACCCTGTCCCAAAATTTTTAAAAAGGACTGGGATAGAGCTCAGTAGAAGAGTGCCTCTGGGATCAATCTCTAGTACCATAAAGCAAACAAAAAAAAGATCACATTGTATACCTCATACACACAAAAAAAATTTTAAAACATAAACATTTTTTGAAAAGAATAGGAATCACCAGAATATCAATCTCTCACTCAATCGAAAAAGCAATCCTGATAAAAAGTAATTCTTATTCAGAAAGTTCTCACTCTTGGGCTCATTTTGACAATAAAACCAGAGAACCTTGACATGAATCAACTAGTTTCTTTGAATTTTCCTTCAAAATCTCTCTCTCCTTTACTCCCTCCTTCTCATTCTCTCTCACATACAATGGACAGGAAGATCTCCTGGGATGTAAATTTCAGAAAAAGATATTTTACTTCTTAGAAAGTATAGGGGTATGGCTTTAATTTATACTTCATGCATGTCAGAAGTGTTGAAAGTCTTTATAAAGAGGAGGTCTGGGTTGTAAAATTAAACAAATTTTTAGAAACAGAATAAAAGCTTTAAAAAACAACCTAAGGATATAAAACTTCAGGGTATGAAGAGATTTCTTTAAAAAGAGGGAGAAAGCACTTATTAAAAAGTAATAATAATAGGGGTTGGGGTTGTGGCTCAGCAGTAGAGCACTCATCTCTCACATACAGTTCAATCCTCAGCACCACATTAAAAAATAGATAAGTGAAATGAAGGTATTATGTCCAACTACAACTAAAAAATAAATATTTTTTTAAAAAGTAATGATAAAACTAATACCTTATATTTACCAAGAGATGACATAAAGAAAGTCTTCTTTCTTTGAAAAGATTACAACACACATTATGTAACAAAGAATGCCTAAAAAATATGTACATATTCATAAGAAAAAGAGAAATAACATAAAAGAAAAATGGGCAAAAGACTAGAATAGGTACTTTATCAAAAAAGGAAAGGTGAATGACTAAGCAACATGTCTACCAGGATCTGTTTCATTAGAATCACTTAATATTTACATGCTATAATATTCCTTTGTATGGTCATTACTTAATGACAGCACTTGTTAGCATAAAGTTTGAAGTAAGAAAAAAAAGAAAGAAATGAGGGAAGGAAACAGGGCTGAACTCTTTAAGTAAAGCTGGTACCTTTAACATCAGGTCTAATGTAAGACAGCAGATTAAGCTCCCCTGGCTTCTCCAGCAGGGTCCAGGCTGCTCTTTCTAATCCCAGCTGCTTTGCTCTTTGGGCTTTGGTGCCTTTGCTCCCAGTTTTATAGGGAGCAGACTAGGAAAAAAAAAAAAAAAAAGGCATAAAACACTTAGGATTCAGTTTTAAAAAGCAAAAGTTAAAAAAACTAAGATGCAAAATAGAGGACACACTAAGAATTCTGAGGATATCCTTTTCTTAAACCTTTCCCCTTACTTCAGACATAAATTTGTACTAATTAACTAATATTTATGAAGATGATATATGCCTTATCTTATTCTTTATACTTTTAAGTATGCTTAATTAGTTATTTGTTTACTTATCTTAAAAACCACCACCTGACTGCAAGGTCCTCTTCTCAATCAAGCAAGCTACTCTAAAACTTGTCTGCTTAAGATACTTCTACTTAATCACATTCATTCCTCAACCCACCACCATCTGGCTTCTAGAAAAGAAACACCTTACTGAAAGTGGTATCACAAAAATCTATAAAGAACCCCTAAGTATATACAGCTTTCAGTTTTATCTCACCAAACCTCCTCCACTTACTTAGTGATTGTTTCCCTCATTCTAAAACTCGCTTCCCTAACTACCGTCCATGCACCATCACCTCTGGATTCTCCCCATAATTCTCTAACCATTTTTTCCATGTCTCTCTAGGTTCTCCCCTCCTCACTTTAAGCTGATGTTGCCCAGTGGCTCATTCTGACCTGCCTACCCACTTAAATAAGTTCTTCCACTCTCATAGTTTCTAACACAACCCTCCTATAGTTATCCATGGAAGACTGGTTTCAGGCATTCCCTTCCCTTCCTCCTGGATACCAAAACCTGATCATGCTCAGGTCTCTTATATAAAATGGTATGGCATTTGCATATAATCTATGCATATCATCCTGTACACTTTAAATCATCTCTAGATTACTTAGACCATCTAAAACAATGTAGATATATGTAAATAGTTGTTATATTGTATAGCTTTGGGAATACTAACAAAAAAGTCCATACATGTTCAATACAAATACAACATTTTTCAAATATTTTTTTACCAACATTGGTTGAACACATGGATGTGGAACACACAAATGAATAACCAAAGGGCCAAATATACGTAAAGACACTCATATCTAGGTCTCCAGTTTAGCCCCCTCCCTTAAGCTTCACATTATTAACCTATTCTTCTTTCACTCAATGGGGAATTCCTTGGGAGTAAGGACCACTTATTACCCATATTTGTAAACCCAGTGCTTAACACAAAAAAAGTATTCAATAAGTATTTATTGAACAAAGGATAAGTATTTTGAGGAATTAAGTAATGATGGCTAATAACTTTAGCTTTTTATGTCTTGGTCTTCACTTCTAAAAAGATCCAAATCATATTCAAGCATTACATTAAAAGATAAAAAGAGTTCCTTACCACGTGTTCTAGTTCTTCCAAAGTTTTACAATTCAGCAAGGCTTTTAGTAAGCATTCAGACATCTTCCCTTCCTTCTTAATTTTCTGGATTGTACTATGAACCTTCTTTGCAACAGCCCTGAAAATAAAAACTTTTGTAATATACAAGACCAATACTTGAAGACTTTCTTTTTGAGCCCATCTCAAAAAGTTGCAGATAAAGGAAACAGAATCCTTTTTCCTCTGATTCATTTGAGAATAATACTGCCCCCCCCACATTTTAGTGTGTTATTTCCTATAAAAAAAATCTACAAAATCACAAAATGATCTTTAACACTAAATAATTAATAATGATGCATTATCATCATCTAATACTCAGACCTGAGGCCTCATCCAAGTTTCATCAACTGTTTGAACAATGTCTTTGATAGGGTGCAGTGATATACACCTGAAATCCCATCTACTCAGGAGACTGATGCAGGAGGATTGCAAGTTCAAGGCCAGCCTCAACAACTTAGCAAGACCCTATCTCAAATGAAAAAAAAATAACAAGGGCTAGTGATATCACTCACTGGTAGAGTACTCATGGGTTCAATCCCTAGTACCGTAATAATAGTCTTTTGTAGTATATTCACTTCAGAATTACAAGTTCCACGTATCTCGTTTCCTTCAAAATCAAGGCCTTAATACTTTTAAATGCTGTAGGCCAGTTATTCTGTTTGAAGTCTCAAAGTTTAGGTTTTTCTGATGTTTCCATATAGTTAAATTCCACTGGTGTCTCCTTGCAGGGACAGCTTAGAAGTGACTCTGGTCTTTTACCACAACCCATTAGGTGGCAAGTAATTTGATTTGTTCCATTACTAATTAACTTTGATCCTTATATTATCTGATGTCTATAGGTTTCTCCACAATACAGGTACTCTTTATTCCCTCTGTAATTAATGTTTTGTGTAGAGGTGCTTTGAGACTATGTAATTATCACATTCCAGATTAAGGTTTCAATTTATGCACAGATTCATTTATATTACTCTAGATTTGTGGTTTCTTTTTTATTTAGTTGTAATAATCCATTGCTATCATTTATTTTAATGGTCATATTGTCCCCAATGTGACCAGACATAACCCCTTCAAGCTTGCTGCTATATCCTTCTGACATGTATCCACCATTGCTTGAACCCTAAGTTATTCTTATTCTCTGCTACAAGATATTCCAGGCTCATCCTTTACATTCTCTGTCCCAGCCCTGGAATCAGAAGAATGGCACTTAGAAACCAAGTTATGAGTATTAGGTGTGCTCACTGCTATGGGAGTATCATTGGTCAAGGTGGGCACACCTAGCACCCACAACTGGTTTCTAAATACCATTCTCCACTAAAAAGAAACAGGATTTCATATAAAAATGCTGATTCCAGGAATCAACATACAGGAATCAATTTACAAATAAGGGGAAGGGAAGGGTATAGTAGTTTTCCCCGCATTACAATGGCTTTTCTCTGTGAATATACAATTCTCTTCCTATATATAATGGATCTCACCCTATTTCACTCCCTATTCCTATTTATAGGTTCTGTTTAATAAGGGTATTACTAGAGTGATGGGTAAAAGTTAACAATAATGATTACAAAAATTGATAGAAAAAAATTAAATCTATTTATATTAAGAAAAATACTAAAGAAGATTGTCAATTAAAGGAAAAAATGTGAACTATGAAATTTTAATTTACAACTTTTACATCTTTTATAATCCTGGCAACCCAAGCCATTTGCTATCAGGGTCATTTTGACAAAAGGCTAATATTCTAATGGGCTGCATATAAGGAAGAGGAAAAAAAATTTCAGGAAACTTTCCTTACTATCCAGAGGTATACTACTTAATTCCCTTTCTAATAGCCATTCATACTAATATATTTTAACTCACAACTAATTTTATATGCACAAACACACACACACACACATAATTGAAACAATGTTTCATGAAATAATATTTTCCTTTACCACATAAACTGTGCCCTATGTTTTCCATTTTATTTTTAAATGGGATGAATTATTGGTTTCACTTTTCATATACAGGTAACATTTAATGGATTGAAAATTAATATTCTAGTTATAGAATATGCTGACTTATGTATGGAGATTCCTCAGAAAACTTGGGATGGAACCACCACTTGACCCAGTTATCCCACTCCTTAGCATATACCCAAAGGACTCAAGATCAGCGTACTATAGTGACACAGCCACATCAACATTCATAGCAGCTCAATTCACAATAGCTTTTAGCTATGGAACCAATCTAGGTACCTACAAAGATGAATGGATAAAGAAAATGTGGTACATACACACAATGGAATATTACTCAGCCACAAAGAAGAATGAAATTATGGCATTTCCCAGTAAATACATGGAAATGGAGACTATCATGCTAAGTGAAATAAGCCAATTCCAAAAAAAACAAAAGCCAAATGTTCTCTCTGATATGCAGATGCTGACTCACAATGGAGGGAGCATATCACTGGATTGGGGGGGGGGGGGTGCGCATGTATGGGGAATGGGAAAAACAGTAGAATAAACCAGACATAACGTTTGTATATTCATGTATGAATACATGACAAGTGTAATTCCACATCATGTACAACCACAAGAATGGGAAGTTATACTCCATGTTTGTATGATATGTATTTGGACATATCACACATACATGGTATGTCTCTCACTCTCTCACACACACATACATATATATATTTTATATATATATATATATATATATATAGAGAGAGAGAGAGAGAGAGAGAGAGAGAATGCAAATAAAAAATAAAAGAAAATGCAGAGCTTAAAAAAAAGCAGAGATCATATGTCTCATTACCAAAAAAGAAATGTAATGGAAAAAGATCTTCTAAGCCTCAATGTTTCCACTTATGTCAAGGAATATTCCTTTAGTAATAGTTAATGTATTCCTCCATTAACAGAAACCCAAATAATGAAACTCTTTTGCAGAAGGGCTTTTTATAGAAAAAGAAAACATTAATAATAATCTTGACATAAAGTTTCTTTTTGTCCCATACAATAAAATATTGTTAGAATACCTTTAACTTTAAGCAAACCATTCTTCTGTGACACTGTCCCCAAATTCTCAGGCTTTCTTTACTACCTTGCTTTCAACCAAGCAGAAAGCTTACTTAGAATTTGCAAATTACTGGCCTGTAGACAGTTTGTTTGGTTCAGAAACTCCTTACATAAAATTCTAGATTAGCAGCTTCTTTTCACATACAGGAAACTCCAGCAAACTGGACAGACAACTCTGTATGTCGTGATTCCCAGGAGATAATTAAGGGCTCCCCTCAGAGACAAGACTTGGGATCCCTAAGTCTTTTGTTTTTTTTAATATTTAGTTGTAGATAGACACAATACCTTTATTTTATTTATTTATGTGGTGCTGAGAATCAAACCCACACATTCGAGGCAAGTGCTCTACCACTGAGCCACAATCCCAGCCAGTAATCTCTACTTCTTATCCCCTGATGCTTGATTATACTATCCAGGCTGGAAGATCTACATCTAAGACCATCTGTTTGGCAATTCATTTATACTTCTGAATTGGCTAATTTATTCTGCCTCTCAAGGAAATATAATTTACTAGACACTAAGACTTTAATTGTCCTGGCAGTAAAAGAACATCAACAAAAGTAGTAAAGTTGGTGAAATACAAATTCCCCATACATCACAGAAAGCTTATCAGGATAATTTTACAAGTAACCATTAGTACTTTTTAAAATGGCTTGAAAGAAGAATTATATCCAATTTTAATCAGATCCTTGCTGTAGACCTGAAGAATATACACATTATACATTCCTGTAACAAACATGCAATAAATGTACAAATGATATACAGTGTTTTAATAAATCATTGTAAGTAATATGGTCACACTTATGTACTTATTACTCATATTGAAGTTCTTAAATTATCCACTTTTTAAAAGGTACTTTCCATCCTACAACCATAGAAAAATTACAATCCACTAAAATTAAACTATCCTTATCTTCAAAAAGAATGGAAAAATATACTTCCTACCAAACACTACAGAAATGTTCCTTGACTTACAATGAGATTATGGCTCAATAAGCCCATTATAAATTGAAAATATTATAAATCAAACATGCATTTAATATACAAATAATCTAACAAATATAACTTAGCCTAGCCTACCATAAATGTGCTCAGAGCACTTTTTTCAATTGGGCAAAATCATCTAACACAAAGCCTATTGTATAATAAAGTACTGAATAGCTTATATAATATTTTTAATACCTGAATCCAAAAACCATTGGCAACACTGTGCAGTGTAGAGTGTGGCTTGTTTGCTCTAGTGATCACATAGCTGAATGAAAAAAAAAACGATCACAAGAAAAGCTGTAGGATACAGCTAACCTAGAAAAAAAATAGAATTCAAAATATTCAAAGTATGGCTTCTACTGAATGCTTATGGTTTTAATCATCACAAAGTCAAAAAACTGTTAAGTCAAAGTATCGTAGGTTGGAAACCATCTGTACTTCCAAAGAACTCTCCATTTAGGGACTTTGTAGTATTAATAGCACAGTTTTATGTAAGCTGTTGAAGAGTTAGACTAAAATGTACTTTTCTGAGTTTCCTGCTGGCAGTCCTGATTTTACCATTTTTTGCTGGCAAAAATGGCAAATCACTTCTATACATGAAGATGACATCAAACCCTGAGGCACACTCAACTACAAACCACCTTTCCACTGATTCATGCCCAAGCTATTCAAATACACACCAGCAGAGGGACTCATACACACCCAAATATGTAAAACAGAGCTGACTGTCAGAAGAGGACCACATTCAAATTACAATTCTAGAAAAGTAAACATTGGAACTATTAAAATAAGCTGTCATTCACTTCCTCATTGGCTTACCAGGTCTCTATTCCCTTACATTAGGTTCATCCCTTCCCAGGTTTCTTACCGTAACTCCTCTAGGGTTTGTCGAACTTCTCTCAAGGAATCAGCATCAAGGTTATTAATGAGTTCTTTTCGATAACGTATAATGAAGGGAATTGTGTTATCATCATTAAAGAGACGAATAATGTTGGCACAAACCCAAAGTTCAATGTTGGTTCTCTCAGATAAAACCTACAAGTTAAAGATATAGAGTGATTTAAAACACTGAAAATTAGACATCAAATACAGTATTAAATATTGCTTTCCAGGCACTTAGAAACCATTTGTTTTGTTTTTAAAAGAAACCATATGAATTATATATATGAACTGGAAGAGCATTTCCAATAATGCAATGATGTTCTTTTCATTTCTCAAAGTAATAGCAAAGATCAAGGAGTTGGTAACTCACTATGTTGGCCTGAGTACAGAGAAAAAGCATTTTTAATCACCGCTAGTGACAAGATACAATGGTTTAACCTTTAGAGGAGGAACAATTTGGCAATATCTATCAAAATTTACAATGACTAAATTGTTTGACCCAATAGTTCCACTCCTGGAAATTCATCCTAATATTGACATACCTCTGGTAAATATACTATTTAAAATAATTTTTCTTTTTGAAGAACTGTTTCTAGCATAGTAAAATTCATCAAAAACCTAAGTTTACAATGGGAACTGGTAAATGAATTACAATATGCTCATGTAGTAGAATACTGTGTGACTAAGAATACGACACAACCCTAAATGAACTGATAGGGAATGGTTCACAAAAACATGGACCATGATTATTTGCAGAAAATGTAACTGGTCAGCTGAGGATTAAGGTAGGAAGACCCATCTATATCTTTTAAATTTTGTAATATGCACAGATACCACACAGTCAAAATAGTTAAATTATTTTTAAAAATGAGTCACAGGTCCCAGCAAAATGTACATGTAAGCAGAAAAGTCAACCTGGAGAAGAGAAAGAATAAAACTCAATTTCAGTAACTATTCCCAAAGAAAAGAACAAAAGAATTTAAGTTTTATTATAATTTCAACCTGGATGCCCAAGATCTGCCAAAACTTGAGGAGTGGGAGGAACCTCAGGGGAAAAATTATTTAAACATTATAATCAACTAACAAAATCAAGTCAAGATATGACTGAACTCCAGGAACTATAGAGGACACCTCATTCTCTAGGTATCTAAAATTCTGAGACATACATCTCTATTACCCATTCTGATAGTTTACTACCAAATCTCTGATAAGGACATCAATTTTTACATCTGTAGTCCTTTCTCATCTCAGCACAAGCTCCAAACACCAACTACTTAACATATTCTCTCAGAAATCTAACTGGGCATCTCAACCTTGAATTTGCAAAGTGTTCTTCCTCTCAAACTTATTCCTCCAGCTTTCTTCATATAACTAATATCTTTTCAAACAGTGCAAGCAGGAAAGTCTTCCATTTCCTTCAACTCTTAAACCAATCCATCATTAAGAACTGGTCAACTCTAACTACAAAATAACTTCCTAAGTCTCTGTGTTTCTTCTGCCCTATACCCCAGTCTATTTCTACTATTTTCTACTGAAATAGTCTGCATTTGCTCCTGTCTCATTTTCTATATAACACCAATAATAGTCTTTTCAAAAAGTCTATCTGATCATGTCAATTAACTGATTTTCCATTGCATTTGAAACCCAAACTCTTTGCCATGACCCAAAAGACAGCAGCCTCCCTTTATCAACCTCATCTTATCCTTCCTTCTCCCAATGGTTCTGGAACAAGCCCAGTTGCTTTCCTCTTGAATGAATTCATGAAGCTGCTCCACCATATGGAAATGCTCCTCTTCAGCATTTTCTCTCTTAAACCTGTACCTTTCCCCATTTATTATTCTAGTCAACAATATCGTCATCCACTACAGAGACCTTAAAGGATTTTGTGGTTATCTCCTCCAAACTATATGTAGCAACTATTGGTTTGACAGTACTTGACCCCAATTTCAGCTCCATTTGCCTCAAATAATTTTTATAAGAATTAACAGCCAGGTAAATTAAACCAACCAACATGAAACTCAAGATTTGGACTGGAACTCTGGGCCCCAGTACAATGTCTTCTTCTGGAAAAATACAGTTTGTTGTGTAGATCATGAAGCTGTAGCTATTTTGCTATAAAGAAGACAGTAGTACTGAAAAAATAGTAGAAATACACTGACCCCCAACTTTCCTATTTTGTAGGTCAATAAATCGCCTTTATTTCTTTTTTTTAATATTTATTTTTTGTAATATAGTCGGACACAATATCTTTAATTTTTATTTATTTATTTTTATGTGGTGCTGAGGCTCGAACCCAGGGCCTTGCATGTGCGAGGCGAGCACTCTACTGATGAGCTATAACCCCAGCCCCTCCTTTGTTTCTTAAACTAGTTTAAGATGGGTTTTCTTTTTTTGTAACCAAAAGCATTCTAATTAAAGATGTCAACATCACTGTGGATTCTCTATCACACCCATTTAATCTGTCACCAAGGAGGAGAATGAAACTTGTAAGACATCTGTTCCCTCCCCTTGAGCTCCGTTCTCACTAATGAAAAATTTTATCTTTAATACATACTATGTATTTTAATACATAAAAATATATGTATTAAAGATAAAATATTTCATTAGTGAGATATTTTATCTTTAATACATAGTAGTATGTTGTTGTCATTATTATTGTTCTCTATCCATCCAGCCTCTCTGCATGACTACTGTATTTTTTAAATATAGATATAATCAGAAACTGCTATGGTTTGGATATGAGGGATCCCCCAAAGCTCCTGTGTTAATGCAGGAATGTTCAGAGGTGAAATGATTAGATTATGGGAGTTGTAACGAATGAATTGTAGCAAGCCAATAGCTGCTATATAACAAAGAGGTAACCATAGTTTGGAGGAGATAACCACAAAACCTTTAAGGTCTCTGTGGTGGATGACGATATTGTTGACTAGAATAACAAATGGGAAAAGGAACAGATTTAAGAGAGAAAATACTGAAGAGGAGCATTTCCAAATGGTGGAGCAGCTTCATGAAGGTATTCAAGTGGGTTCAATCCCCACTGGGTTCAAGTCCCACTACTGGGCTGGGTGGTAACTCTGGGCTAGTGGGGTATGACTGAAGGAGGTGTGCCGAAGTCTGGCTTGGCACAAATCAGGAGCCACTTGTCAAAAAGAAACTAACTTTATTTTTAGAACTACAAACGCCAAACAAAACAGCTCCAGGGAAAAACCCTCAGAGCCCAACTGCCACCACCGGCTTCCACACGCCTCTCTCCCCCACACCAGCCTCTTCACCCCCAATCCTCCTCCTCTTGAGGCCGATTGGCTGGGTTGCGTGGGCAGAGCCAAAGAAGTCACCCAATGAGCAGCTCCGTGGAGGAGCCAATCAGCTAGATGTTGCTGGGGCAGCTGTGAGCCAATCATCAGCTGGCAGTCTGAAGGGCAGGGAAACAGCCCAATGAACATCACCGCAGAGGAGCCAATCAGCTAGATGTTGCTGGGGCAGTCTGAAGCTTGCTGGCAGCTGGAAGTTTGCTGGGGCCCCTTTGGCTGTGGCTCTCAACAGAGGTGGGCAGAAGAGGGGATGCCCTTAGGGATTGTATCTTGTTCCTTCAGCTCTTCCCTTGCATTCTTTCTGCTTCTAGGCTGCCATGAATAGAGCAATACTCTTCCACCATGCTCTTTTGTTATGTTTGGCCTCACCTTGGTCCCAGAGCAATGGAGTTGGCCCACCATGGACTGAACCTCTGAAACTGTGAGCCAAAATAAACTTTTCCTCCTCTAAAGTGTCCTTGATAGGTATTTTGGTCACAGCAACAAAAAACTAACACACACCCCTTGTTTTTTCTTTTCTTTTTTGAACATCAACTCCAGTGATTTTAATCTACTTACTGGAAAAGGTGTAACCACGTAGCATAGTTTTAAAATTCCTTCCCAAGTTGAGGCTCAAACTTTCACTGTCCTCAAAGTAGTTAGCAATATAAAAAGGAAGATAAAATATTAATGCAAACAATTACAAATAAAACAGCACATGCCAGACAGTAAGTAGTACCATGCTTTCAGAAAAGAACAAGCTTTCTTTGGGATAATCAAGAGGTGCCTATTGCAGGGGTAGCATTTCACTTGGCCCTTGAAAGACAAGCAAGATTCTGAAAGATGGTAATGAGAAATAGAAGTGACAAAAATGCTCATTTTGAAACTGTGTGATTGTTAGTGTAATGAGAAACTATACTAAATAGATCAGCTGTTGCTGAGTAACAGAATTTAAAGCTAAACATAGTAGAGCACCAGTGACTGGGGAAGAGGATCACAAGTTTGAAGCTAGTCTTGGCAACCCTGTCTCAAAATAAAAGAGGATGGTGGATGTGGCTCAGTGGAAGAAAACCCTTGGGTTCAAACCCAATACCACAAAAAAAAAAAAAAAAAAAAAAGTCTAAGACAGCTAAAATCCCAGACTCACACTTGGATAATACTAAGTCCTAAGGAATCCAGCTAGCATCACATGTATTAAGGGAGTATATGTTGCTGCTTATGCAAAACTGCTCATTGAAATTAAAACTAACAAAACTACATAAGCAGTCATCACTTTTGGGCCTCCAAATCTCCAAATTTCTTCTATGTTGATTTTGTCAAACTTATTTTACTTCATATTACATGTCAAAGGCCATATTAAGCCAATAATAACCAAGATATTAAAAAACCAAGTTCCCAAGGCTGTCAGGGTACATTAGAGGCAGGGCTCCTACCTAGCACACAAATCCTATGTTAGATTCTCAAAACACACACACACATACACACACACACCCCAACTCCCTGTTCTCAAGGCACTAACAACCTAACAGAAATCAACAGTTAAAATATAGTGTGATCTCTATCCAGTTGAAGCATAAGTACACAGTTTTAAGAGCACAGGAGCACAGAACAACAACAACAAAAAAAAAAAAAAACGTAAATGAAGGTATCTCCAGACAGCTAAATGAGGGGCAGGAATCCAGGAAGAATGAATAGCATATCAGAAATCAGTGATGAGAAACCACTGTACATTCTTTAAATTGCTAAAAGTTCAGTAATGCTGAAATGTGCATGTGGTAGAAATGCAAAGATGGATGGGGCTAGATGGTAATTCTATAAAGAAAGAATTTTGTTTCTTCTATGCGCAGAAGGAAGACATTCAAG